TTTTCTCTCATTTTTTCCATTATCTTTCAGTTTAGTCTACAGAGTAGGTACAGAGTACCTACTTTAAATATTGTTCTTCTGGTTTTCATCTGTTCAATTGAAATAAAAGTGTTTAGCTAAACGTGCTTCAAAATCAAGAAATGAAAATAATTTTTCGGTGTAAGAGGATAACATTCATATGTTTAATTCGTCTAGTAAAACAGGATCTATCAACAATGATTTAATCAATAAGTAATTATAGAAAATTTATCAAATGTAGTCAATTTTGTTCTACAGAAAAATATTCAATTTACTGAGGATTTGAAACTATTACTCTTTTGATATTCCTTACAAAAAATGTTTTGTGATCCTCATGGTTCAAATTTTGTAATGTATTATGTCCTTAATCAAATAATATATTATGTCATTGCCTTTTGTTAATAAAATACGATAGTATCAATTGTTTAATGTTTAAGGGTTTTAGTATTTCAAGTAAAGATTGGTGTACACTTTATTAACCCAGATATGCCTGAATTATTTTGTTTTTTGTTTTTTCAACGTTACTGCTTTAATGTTAACAATTTACCTTCCTTAAGTCAAGAAAAACACATTTCGTTTATTTTTTAGTATTTACAATCTGTCTTTTAGGGTGTCCTTAACAAAGGACAATCGGCATACAGGTAGTAATGTTATATAAGAAACCTAAATACTAGTTCTAAAGTAACTGATTAGCAAACTAATTTTCAGACCTATGATAGCTCACAAAACACTCCATATATGCAAAGCCACGTCACATTTTTCACATCTTTTCTGAACTTTTTTGTGACATACACGACATCGAGTCTGTTTGGGTTGGGATACAAGAAAGTGATCTTGGTTATCTAATCTTGATTCAACGTTCTCCAACGCGAAAGGTCTTCCCCCTTTTTTTTGCACATTAATTGGTTTTCAAGAACGTCAAAGTAATTTGTCGTCTGGTCGATAGATTGTCAAGTGAACCTCCTTGTAGTCTATGGAGTTGCCATGCATTCTGTTCGCAAATGTCTAGACCATACGCAATTAGACAAAAATACCATTTTTTTTACCTCTTACTGACGTTCTGTAGAGGCTTACATTCTGGTCGCAACGATCTACTCCTCCCATGAACTTATTATAAATATATAACGGGTGTGGCTGATCTACAGTGATCCTTTTCTTATATTTTTGGGAAAATCGTGATACTTGGTGTAATGGCTCCACCGATAAATATTGGAAGCAACATTTACTGCATTCTTATCATGCCATTTGACAATAACTACTTTGTTCTGAGTAGATCTAAAATCATATTCTCCTCTCTTCTTTTTCTTTCATTCGTTTTTTGATAATATTGGACACTTTGACATCCTGTTTTCCCGGATAGTTCCTGTAGCTCTTACATTGTCGTTTTGCAGTTGATCCAAGAGTGGGACCGTTGTAAAAAAATTATCAAAAAATATATGGTAGGGAAAACTTCCAAGCATCTTGAGTATGTCGGCATATTCTAGAATAACGGATGGACCTAAACCAAACGATTTGTATCGTTCTATTAGCTTTGTTTTGACTCCTTGATAAGGCTCAATCCACACACAGTAACCGCTACTTGTGGCACCCATCCAAACCTTGTAACCATAGCGAATTGGTTTATTCTTGATGAATTGCTTACATCCATGTTTCCCAAAATAGGGAACCATGGATTCATCCACACTGTGAGTCTCAGAAAAAGGCGCGAATCTTTGGAAATTTTGATTCAGTCTATCAAAAAATGTCCTAACTTTGGCATACCTGTCATTTATATCCAAATTGTCATTATTGCAGCAATGAAGATTTGACATAATAAACTCAAACCTATCTCTAGCTAATGCATTTGCTACTACTTCGTTCCTTGTATCGCCACTTTTTTCCCAAAACATACGGCTCCTTGGAAGAGGCACATATCCACTTAGCAACAATACTCCAAAAAATGCTTTCATTTCAGAGTGTGTTATATTTCCGGGTTTATTTTTCTTTGCAGCATACATATTGCTATAGGTTAAAAACATATTTATGATATCTTCATCAAACATTTGAAAAAATAGTTCCGTTGGAGAAAAATTTGCATTTGCCTTTTGCATTGGTTGCCACTATATTGCAGATGCAGATGATGCAGATAAAACTACGAAACGCACAGCACAATAACACACGCGCAATTCTAATAACTTATAAACCTTCAATCACATCTTCTGCGATGCAATACCAAGCGCCATCTCATTTAAACAACCGAAACTATGAAAATAAAATGATTGTAAGTGGCTGTAACAGGTGTCCTTATTTAAGGACAATCGGTATATCTGGGTTAACAAAACAGCTCTGCAAATATCATCTACATTGTTCTAACATAAGAGCAACACACTTTATGTAATTTTAATTCTTTAAGGATACTATTAAATGAAATTTGAAATGAATTTCTTGCTTATTGATGTATCACAGTTATTATTAGAAGTAATTAATTGTTCTGTCCGTGAATTATTTGAGTAAACGTAAGCAGCATACCTAATTGTATATTAAGTTATTTTATTCGTTATGTTGTATTTTTTTGAATATTTTTAACATAGTGGTAACTGACATGTAAGAAAATGTCAGACCTACCATTTATTTTATTAAATAAATAATTTAAAGTATTCAAAAAACACTTCATCGTGAGAGTTTCACTAACCCCCCCCCCAAGACACGCTCGAAGAAGCCGTTGTATGGCATTTTTGTAAAACTGTTTAGTGAAAGTCTCACAATGAAGTGTTTTTTAAATATCTTAGTTATGGATTTTCATCAAGTATCGACCAATTCCATCATATGAATAATCTAAAGCATGGATTCCCAACCTTTTTGCACCTGCGTACCAATTGACTCTTTGAGAAATTTTGGCGTACCACCAAACCTAAATATTTTAATAAACGTATAATATTTACTTTTCTATAAAAGTGTTCAAAGGTTTTTTGAATCGAATTCCTGAGAAAACTTCATATTTAATGATTATATATTTGTTTATTCATAACATGCTTATAATAAAGGATGCATAAAAAGATTGAGATGGTATTAATTAACAATTTCATTCATTGATTATAGGTCTAAAAACATACAGATGAAAAATTAGTACAAACTCAGCAAAAAATTAATCTTCTTCGATTGACGACTTGTTTATTTTGTGGAAATTCATGTTCACTGAGGATACACTACAAAAACACACTTTTGTCTATTTTCCACTATATTTTTATGTTCATGGATTTTACAGGTATATGAAACGCAGGTACCGGATATCAGGTATATCAGATATATCAGGTATATCAAATCATTTATGCTAGAATAATATAGGTATTAATTACTCGGATTTAAATGTAATCAGTTAGTTTTGAAAATGGTATAATAGCCGAAACCGGTCAACAATAAAGAAATATAGTGGAAAATAGACAAAAGTGTGTTTTTGTAGTGTATCCTCAGTGAAAAAATTAATCATTATCTTTAGTGCAAAACTTGTTGTTTGTCTGTGATTAAAATATCAACATTAGGAGTAGTGGAACTCAAATTTACTCTTTAGTCTTCTTCAACACTTATTCTGCTTCTATGTTCATTTTTTATATACAAGAGTTCAGATAATCCACTCTTCCTACAACAAACTCTTAACAAATGGCATCAAAAATAGCAGAACTTGCTGGAAGATCAAAGGGTACCCGGTTTTACATCCGATCCAGAAGTGAATCAAATATTTCTCTATAAAATAATCTTTCATGGAACAATTTTCTGTAAGATCGTTAAAATCTTCTTTTAGTGTCAATTCATTTGGTGAGGTTCCTGAAAAAGAATTTCTGATCCAGTCCACTTTTGAAGGCTTTTCAAGTGAACAATGATATCTGCAACCACATCTGGCATTGAAAATATTTCATTTTCTTCAAAAAATGATGATACAGAGGAAAATGCAGATAAATTCTCCTCCTATATTTGTGAACAAAACAGAACCAACTTTTTCTTCAAGGAGTTTATTTTGTCACTGGCTGTGAGGGCTGTTGTGTTTGGTCCCTGAAGTCCCAAGTTCAGAGTTTGTCAAAAATGTCGGATAGATAAACCAATCTTGACAACCATTCTTCATGACCAAACAATTTTTTCATGTCATTATTTTTTTCACTTAAACATAAAAACTTCTGATCTCAGTTCAAAGAGAAGGTTCAAAATTTTTCCCAGAGATAAACACCTCACTTCTGTATGCAGAAGGCTTTCCATCTTTTACAATTCTTAAACGAGCAAGGTATGACGCCTTTATCAAGTTAGTATCAGTATTGACAAACTTCGTCAAACATTGAGTTTCTTAAAAGATTTTCTTTAAAAAACTCAATGGGTTCACTGATCGAATCAGGGCACTGGGTATTTTGATGTCGCATCAGTAAAGAAGGCTTCGTGTTTTGGTTCGACAGTGTTTCAAGAAATACAACACATTGAGGAATAGGAATGTCACCACATCCTGGTCCCTGGCTTCACTATTAAACCGTACTGTAAGTAGCTTTCATCGTATTTATGATTGGCCGGTGATTTAGGTTTTTTAGCTCAATCCTTTGAAGTAGAAGAGGACGTCAGAAATCATTGCTTAGTTCAGTTTTCTTATAAGAAATCACAATTAAGTATTACAGCACCCCCAACGAACCATTACAACAACATATAATCATTGCACAATCACTAGCAATATTGTGAAGCGGCAGAATGTAGGTGTGGGGAAAGAAGGAAAGACAGCTTTCATCGCCCCTCCCCCGGCGCCGTCACTCCTCACGCGTACCACCTAAAACGTTCCCGCGTACCACCAGTGGTACGCGTACCACCGGTTGGGAACCTCTGATCTAAAGTTAATTTAACTTTATGACTTTGAGTACTTTGATATGTGTAACTTTACCAAAATTAAAATTTATAATTGATCTTTTTCCAAACCTCACTTTAAGTTATCATACTGTATTTATTTATCTAAATAAAATTATGTTTCTTTACAGGTGCCTATGTAACTTACATGAAGAGTGATGATGCCTTAAGGGCGATACAAAGTGTTAATAATATAACGATAGATGGTAGACTGATCAAATCGAGTTTAGGTACCACAAAATATTGTTCACATTTTATGAAAAACCTGACTTGTCCCAAGCCAGACTGTATGTATCTGCACGATTTTGGTGAGTAAGAGCTTATTTGGTGGTTAAGAAAAGTATATATTTTCATGTTATGTATATGTCCGTAGGTACCTTGGTACATTGGGTAAATACGCTAAGTCATAAAAACAGAAAATAACAAAAAAAACATTAAATATATTCATAAATTGAAATCAATAACATAAATGATCCACAGCCATAATCCGAGAAACTCTAACCAATTACTTTTGAAATTTCAGGGAAAAGTGCCCTACAAAAATTCCTCAAGATTGTAGTAACCTACACCTCAGTATTAAAAAGTTCTGGCTTGATTATCCTGACGGATGACTACAAGTTATTATAATAGTTCATTGCATTCAACATTGGGGAGTATCTCGAAAAAGCTGTTTCTCTATCATAAATATCCGAATATTGGAAAATATATTGATACTTTTTATAGGCAAAAGTGACACATCTGTCTGTTTAAAATCTGTTTTTCCGTTAATCAGCTGTCAAGGTAAACCTAAAAGATGTATTGAAAACGCCCCCACTCTCAGATAAATTGGGCTAAAACTATCCAGAAAATTAATTATGTTTCTTTAGTTCGATCTCTATTAAACTAGTCGTATGGTATATTATCATATCACAAATTTATAAATGGTACATTTTTCTTCCAGTTTGTCTCTCAGATAAATTGGGCTAAAACTATCCAGAAAATTAATTATGTTTCTTTAGTTCGATCTCTATTAAACTACTCGTATGGTATATTATCATATCACAAATTTATAAATGGTACATTTTTCTTCCAGTTTGTATCTGAAATTAACTTCTATCTTTGTAAAGAAATTATTTTGAAATCAATTGGATGTTTCACACATTTTTTGTACAGAGATGGAGATCTACAAAACAAAGAACCTTTTTTCCCAAAAATATAACTTTTCCAATTTAATCTTTTTCATCTACAGACGTTCTTAAAAAATAACCTCTATATGTTTGAATACCATTTATTATGCATGAATCGCTGCTGAAATCTCTCCTTATAATTGATTTCATTGTGACCCTAAAACAAAACTTCAAGACACTCTTTGGTATTTGATAATATTTCATTGCATTTACTGAAAACACTTTTTTGTCCGCCAGAATACAAAAAGGTGTCTCGACGCGCGTTTCGCTAACCAAGTTAGTTTTATCAGGAAATGACTGAGGCTAGTTTTTTAACTTCGTTACCTGACATAATTCCTAGTATCCAATGTTTTTTTGCTGCCGGATATTTAATCTTCACCTGTATTCTACTTGTGTATAAGCAAAAGTGTGAAAAGGCGGGGGGGGGGATGTTAGGTATGGGACCCGTACTGGTCTCAAGCAATTCTGGAGTTATTTGGTCTGGTCCATTGTTGCTCAACGACCATAGAATAACTGGTTGAAACTGTTAGACCGGTCTCAACAGATTCAAACAATCCTTTACATCTCTGGCCTGGTCCAGTGTTGCTCAAAACGACCACATGATCGATACATGACAACAAATTTTTAAATGCCTGCAAAAGTTTAAAAGGCAAAAAATGTGCCCTCTTTTCACACTTTTACATAACCGCACGTAGAAAACTGATAAAGATTAGAAATCAGTCAGGTAGCAAATAACATTAAGTACTAGAAACTAATTAAATGACTCTCAACATTATGTCGGGTAATCATTCCTCTAGATAGGTATGAGGTTAGAAGAATAATGTTAAACATCTCGTGGTTCATCCGCTCAGCTACCATAAAACATAATGGAATAAATCTGAATCAGGAAAGAGATATTCTTCAAAAAATCTCCTTTCTTTGGATTTGGGGCTGTGTCAACTATGTCGAATAAACTTGCAAAAAAAATCTAAGATAACAATGGTTAAAAAACTCTTTGAATTATATTATTTTGTGTTTGGGTTATGTAAATCGTTTTCTTGTAAAAGTCAGGCAAGAGATATTCTTTAAAAAATATGCCTTTCTTTGGATTTGGGGCAGTGTCAAGTTTGTCGCATGAACTTGCAGAAAAAATCTGTGATAACATGGTTATAAAACTTTTTTAATTATATTAATTTGTATTTGGGTTATTCAAGTCGTTTTCATGCAAAATTTGTTTTGGTAATTTATTTAAATGTTTTGGAGATGTCAATTTTCTCAAACAATTATTTGTTATTAAGTTTCCAATTTCCACTGAAAACTATTGCGTCTTAGACTGTTGATGCTGTACATCTTAATAGTTCATTTATTCCATTCAAGGAGACCCGGAGGCTAGCTTCACAAAGGAACAAATGCATGCCGGGAAACATCAGGAATATGAAAAGAAACTACATGAAAGTCTAGTTTTACGTGCAGTTAATAACAACAATCAACTTCCAGAAAGTAGCAAACCAAGTGTACCCATACCTACTATTAACAACCCTGTTGGTAGCTCTAAGTCGTCTTCCAAAGAGAATATAACGACACTATCAAGCAGTGTTAGCAGTAGTAGTAGTACAACATCTAATAGCAGTGGAACAAACAAAGAAGGTTGGCCTCATTTAAATACTACTGATAAAGAGAAAAAAGAAAAAGAAAGAGGGAAAAAAAATAAAACCAAGGGAAATAGCAGTGATTCAACTAGTAAAAATAGGAAAGAATTATGTCAAGGTAAAATTGACAGCAGAGTGGAAAGAACATATAAGGCATATGGTATTAATTCTAATTTTGGTACAGTTTGAAAACTAACCTCAAATTTTCAGGAACAGTAGAAAATCACGCATCATCCCCTCTTAGAGAATCTGAATCTATACCCACACCTCCTTCGTTATTAGAAACTCATACATCTCTGACAAAACTGCCACCTTTGATAGATGATAATACAAGTTTCTTCTCGTTGAATTCCTTCCAAAAAGTATCGCCCAGTCATCCAGATGAACAGACAGATAATGAGAATGATCCCTCCCATACAAATATTCTGACGGATGTATTACCAAACATTAACACTACGGAAGACTGGGCTGCTGCGTTTGGGTTTGCTAGGCATACAGAACCAATTATAGAAGGTTCATATATCAAACATTTCACAGGCATTCATGAGAAAATATAAATGATTTATATTTCAGGAAAGAAGGAAGATCTAGTTAGAATGGAGACTTCGGGAAAAGGATTTAGCCAATTAGACCATGACCCCGCTTATTGTAAAAGTGAGTTGTTATTAAAATAGTATTTAGATTACATCACAAACCAGTGAATGTTTCTTTTTGTCTGATGTGAATTTCAGTAGAGAACACTATTCTCCCTCCGGTGCCGGCCGTGGGTCCACTGGGCTAACCACAAGGTGGATCCAACACTTGGTTCCTAGCAATCGAGGAAGGGGCCCCCACAATCGACCCACTCGGAGGGGTCAGAGGCAAGGCAGTGGGCCCATAACGATGATTTGCCTACCGATGACAACCGTGGTAATGACAACGGACGCTTTGAGTGGACGCATGAGCTAATAGAAAGCCTTATGCATTGCTACGAGAGTAGTGAGCCCGCACGAAGAGGGTACATGGCGAGATTGCATGCTCTGTGGTGTGAAACACATCCGGAGCATGCCGCCCTTTCCACCCAAAATCTTAGAGATTACGTATCCTATCTTCGACGGCAGGGCTATATAGCTCCTCCCCAGCCTACTAATTAAATGGTAGAAGTGACAGTTCTACCACCCGTTGGCACGGCTGGAGAAGAGACTCGCATCATGCCACGATAGAGTCAATCAGAACACGCAGGGCGCTCCACAGAATTAGGCCCCTGAAGCCACAAGAACTGGCTTGTTTGGATGCGGAGGTTAATAGTGTTCTAACAGAAGAGGCTGACATCTGGCAAATCAACACCGCCGTGTATAGCTTCGTCCAATCGCTTTCCAAATCGGAAGGACGAAATCCCGGCCTTGCGGTTCGGAAGATTGAACGGCGTGTACACAAGATGGAGACTAAGATCACACGCGTCTCGTATCCAATGTGTGATGGATTACAGGGCGACCAACAGGCCCTTCACGCCCGCAGCGCGGCGAATAGCCGCCAATACACGACGTATCCATCACATTTTTAAGTCAAGGCGTGCTGCTGACCACCAAACAGCACTGCCCTGATAGGATACGTATGCTAGTGGCTGCTAAGGAGTCACTAGTGAGGCGAGCGAGAAATATCGCGCAAAACCTTAGGTTCCGTGAGAAACCTTCTCGCTTATTCCAAGAGCCTCCATGTGTTGTGGATAATCCGCCGACCGATGATCAGGTGGAATCCTTCTGAAAGGATATCTATGAACACCCGCAGCCACTCAACTTAGACACTCCAGCCCTAGCGCAGTTCGAAGCTTTCAACAGAGAGCTTCGACAGCCTGAGCTCAATGAACTGCGCAACCCGATAACCCCGGATGACGTTCGAAGAGCCCTTGTGGGTTCCAAGAAATTTGTTGCTCCAGGCTCAGATGGGCTAAACACTTATTGGTGGAAAAAACTACCAAGCACCCACCGCCGTCTGGCCAGAGTTTTCAACTCATGGCTGGACGGAGAGCTGCCGATTCCTAATTGGTTTGTCGAGGGGCGGACCGTTTTTATCCCAAAAAGCGGAGATTTGTCGGTTCCTAAGAATTACAGACCGATAACGTGCTTGAATTCGTGTATTAAGTTGTTTACAAGCATCTTATACACACGAATACTCATAGCAGTTGACCAAGTGTTTGAACGGATATATGAGCAGATAGGGTCGAAGAGAGGAATTGCTGGATGTAAAGAGAACCTGCTCATCGATAGATGTGTAACTTAAGATTCGATACAATATAAGCGTAACCTCTCTATGGCCTGGATCGATTACCGTAAGGCATTTTATTCAATTTCACATGAGCTCATCTTGCCGTTGCTCAGATGCCTGGCGGTACCCGACAAAATAGTGAGATGCATCGAACAGCTGATACCACTTTGGCTAACTCGCAAGAGTCCAAACAGGGTGGGTCACTTTCAGAAGGGGTGTATTTCAGGGTGATTCCCTCAGTCCCTTCTCTTCTGCATCTCACTATTGTCAATTACCCGTTGCGTTCAGAAATACTCGAGGGTATAACTGTGAAACCCCCGGAAACCGGAGGCACAAGGTCACCCATTTGTTTTATATGAATGATCTTAAACTTTATGCCTCTAGAGAGAAACATCTCCATCAGTCCTTGAGGGCGATGGAAGAGTACATGCATGCTATCGGTATGAAATTCGGAATAGACAAATGTGCAATGGTCGGGAGGCCGTTACTTTTGAGTTTGGAGTGTCTACATGACAGAATGGTACTGGATACAGCCTGTAAAGTCGCCAGGAGTTCGTATCTCCTTCTCTGCATGGTCCATGACCATGAGAGAGCAGTAATTGGAGCATTTCTCTTTAGGGCAGCTGATGAACTCGGTATAGTTTTCAACACTGAACGAGGTGACCACAACTCTGTCAATGAGTTGGAACCTGTTCAGAAAAAGTTCAGATAAAAGCCGCAGAGATCACCTCACTTCTGCGGAAACTCAAGGATAAGTCGATGCATGGGGTCTTCTTCAATAACATTGGAGACCTTGGCTTATCAAAGCGCCTGACGTTCGCTTTTCTCAGGTCGAGTGGGCTGAAGTCGGAAACTGAGGGGTTCATCATGGCTTGCCAGGATGGTGTCTTCAACACCTTAGTCTACCGCAGTCGCGTGATGGGTATAGAGGTTCCTGACACAAGGTGCAGGGCCTGCCGCGAGGCGCCCGAGAC